GGGGAGGGAGGGGAAAAATGAGGACCTGATGCCGGGGGCTTAAGTGGAAAGCAAATGTACAAATGTGCTTTACACAATTGATGTGTGTATGGATTGTGATAAGAGTTGTATGCGCCCCCAATAAAACGAAAAAATAAAAAAGATTTTACCAATAATTCTATTACTTCAGGTAAAGCAAAGATCTCTAGTTTATCCTGAGAATGCACTTTTCACCCTCTCTCCAATAATGATTATTATCTGTTTTCCATTTCACCATGAGTGAGGTTGAGTATTTTTCATGGGTCTACTAGACATGTACACAGCTTGTGGCTGTGCCCGATGCTGTCAACATTTTTAAGGCCCTTGATGAGTGTCTTTTGTCAGTGCACACACATGTGGGGAACATTCTGACCTCAAATTTTGTTCTTTTTCTGTCTGAACTGGAATTTTGTCAGGCAATTTTCGTTCTGCTCTCCAAGACGTGATGGCTGCCAGGAAGCTCAAGCCCTGCCACCTGAAAGCAGTAGTGAGAGGTGAGTCTTGTGGAGAGTCCCTGCACTGCTCCGTGGAGAGGAGGGAACTCACCGCACCAAAAGTTGGGCCATTTTAAGCTTAGCGATTAAGGTGCTTAAAATACTAATTAGGTCACCTTGTTTTTGCAATCTTGATAAGTTCCTGCTTCTTATAAGTAGCAACATGCCCAGTTCAAAAGAATTCTCCAAAGAATAAGCTAACCCTCTGTGTTTTGAGGACTTGAAGGGAAATTGAGACTCATTTTAAATTAATAAAGGATAAAATTAATTAAAACAAAGCAGCTCCAAAAGCCACACTCCTAATATTTTTCTCCCAAATTAGCTGATTGGAAGGCGAGATCTTCAAATGCCATGTTCATGTTAATTAAAAGATAAGTTATGGACCTTTCCCGATAACACTGATGCTGAGATCTTTCCAGATTATTTTTCCTGTTGTAGTCTGGCCTTTCCATAGAATCATAGTGTTTTTATTACTTTTATAGATCACCCTTTCTTTGAGAAGCACAGAGGTGCTTTGCAAACTTTAATTATTCTTCAGACATTAATCTTTGCCACATCCCCATAGACGAGCTTAAAATGCTTCATCCAGTTATGCCCCTGTAGATGGTCATGTAGTGGGTGAAGTAGATCCACTTCCTCCGCTGCAGGGCAGAGAAGACCTGGAACAAAGCGGGGTGAATGACCTGAGCTTATGCCTGTGGCATTAGCCCCAGGCTGGAACCCTCAGATCAGCTGTCACTTTTACCTGCGAAGATCAGCGTGCTCATCTCTGGGAAATGCAGTTGAGTTCTGATATCTAAGCCCTTAAACTTAAGGGTATTTCCAAATTCTGCATAGAGCTTGACGTGGCCAACTGGAGAAAATACAATGCAACAACAACAATTTTTTTTTTTTTTTTACTGGAAACGAGAAGCAGCTTGAACCATAAAGAACAAGATTAGGAGAGGCCTGAGTGTCTTTGGCAACTGGCTTGATGCATGGCTGAGGCAAAGTCCACTTGTCCCTCTTAAAAATCACTTGAGCTGGGATTCGGCTCCCCTCTGGGCAGAGGAGGCACTTGGAGCTCAGATGGTTCTGTGTCTGAGGCCCTGCCAGTAGAGGTGGAGCCGAGCCGTTTGATTCAAAGCCTCTGCTCTTCGCTAGTAAGCTGTGACCTTCCGACGTTGATAAGAGTCCTCATACCAGAAATCCTTATTTTGTATCCAGGATACACAAATGTGTTCTCTGTCTGAGATGCAGCACAAGGGGCTTTAACTCCTTTTCGCCTTCTAGGGTGCTGGGTGGGAGCCGGGGGTGGGGCCTTCTGGGCCCACTGTCCAGTCTGTCTAAGGAGTCCGGGTTCTGCAGGTGCCTTGTGCCATCTGGAACTGAGGAACTTTGCCGAGGCCGTGAGCTGGTGTGATGAGGGACTGCAGATAGACGGCAAAGAGAAGAAGCTTCTGGACACGAGGGTGAAAGCAGACAAGCTGAAGGTTGGTGGCAGAATGTGCAGCTGATGCCTGAAAGGCAGCGCCGATGGTGGCTCGGCACGGCAGACTGCTGTACAAAGCAGAGCCCAAAGCAGTCACTGTGAGAGGCCCTCCCCTCCGCTCGGAGGACAGACAAACGTGGTGCAAACAGTTACAGCGTGATGCTGGTGAGCAAGGGCGTAAACTAAAGGGCATTTCATCAAGCTGATGGAAATGTTCCTTGTCTTTTAATTCCATTTTTCCCTTTGAACTTTTTGATGCTCTCGTATATGCCTCGAAAATATTATGCTCAGTGAAAAAAACAAGGTGCAAAAGGTCATATCTTGTATTGGTTCCACTTACATGAAACACCAGAATGGGTAAATCCATAGATGCAGAAGCCAGACTAAAGGTGGTTGCCAAGGGTTGTGCGGGTGACCGAGTTCCCGTGTGGGGTGAAGCTGGCTTGGAACGAGGCAGAGGTGGTGGTTAGTAACATGGTAAATATACAAAGTGATGCTGAAGAACGGACTTGGCAGTGGCCACGGTTTACTGTATGGATTTGACCTCTGTTTTTAAAATACCAACCCATAAAAGGCAGAAACTTCATTAATGGGATTTAGTCAAAACTGAAAAGATCTGCTTTTCAAAGGCATTGTTAAGAACAGTATTAAGAGAAGCCATTCGGGACACACGGAATCCAGGTCCGATAAACCCCTCAGGAACAGAAATGGAGAAGTGACAGCAGGAGGGTAGGGGGGAGGTGGGGAGAAGAGGGAGGAAGAAGTCGCGGGGGACCGGAAACAGTGGTTAGTGTAAGAGATGAAGATAATAGTTTATAATTTATCAGTAGGTCAGGAGGGGACAGGGTAAAAAGAAGAGCTAATACCAAGGGCTCAAATGTAAATGTTTAGAAAGTAAGTGTTTTGAAAGGATCATGGTAACAGATGTACAGATATGCTTGACATAATGGGTGTATGGATTATTAGAAGAGCTGTGAGAGCCCCAGTAAAATGATCTTTAAAGAGAGAGAAGCCATTGAGTGGAAGAAATATTTAGCAAAGAATTTGTATCTGGAATACATTCATATATCTACTCAATAGGAAAAATACTTTTTTTCTTAATGGGCTTGATTCAGTGAGGTATGCAAATACTTAAAAAATATATAAATGTCTAACAAGTGAATTAAATATGCTTGGCATCACTGGCCGCCAAAAAGAAAATTGACCCTTGACTAAGACACCCCGCCACACCCACCAGAAAGCCTAAACCTTTCACTGGCAGGCAGTACCATGACGGGAGCCCTCATACTTTCCGACGGAGCGATGGGTGCAAGCAGCCACTTTGGAAACCACTGTGGTAGCTTCTTAGAAAGTTCAATATGCACGCCTGCTCTGAAGATCCAGCACATTTACTCCTAGGTGTTTACCTAAGACAAATGAAAACATGTTTATAAAAAGACTCCTGAGAACATTCGTAGCTGCTTTCCTTGTGCTGGTGCAGAACTGGAAACAGCCTTTGTGTCCACCTGTCAGAGGATGGATGAGTAAGTGGTGGCACAAGCATACACTGGAATATAACAGCAATCAACAGCGAAAGGGCAGGGCAGTGGTGCAGAAAACTGACTGCAAGGGGCCTGAGGGAGCTTTCCAGGAGATGGAGAAGCCCCCGGCTGGACTGGAGGGTTGGGGACTCGGGTGTATGCATTGGCAGAGCTTGTTGAGCTGTACATGGACTTTTAAATGTCTGCTAACGCAGGCTTTGTACACGTGCTTTGTCATGTTTGTAGCTGGATTGAGTCCAGTTACTGGGATCCCTGGCCACAAGAGCGTGGGGTGGAGACCAGCTGTAGCAGTGCAAGAGCAGGCTGGGGCACTGAGGAAACAAGGTCCTTGGGGCTGAGGCGTCTGGATTTCATTTTCAGCGAATGGCACAGAGGGATCTAAGGAAAGCAAAATTGAAGGAAAAGAAGGAGCAGGATCAGAACGAAACTTTAATCCAGGCCATTCAGGTGAGTTCCCAAAGCTTAGCCCTTCTAGTCTGCTGAAGCCACTAAGCCGGAAGCTTGTGGGAACCCTTCCTGGGGATGCTTGCTCTGAAGCAGTTTGCTCGTGTTCATGCTGTGGCGAAGCAGTGTGATGAAGGAGCCCACAGCGCCTAACGCATTCCCGTGTCATCCTTCCAAGCGAAGGTTGCTGATCTGCTCTAAGGGACAGCCCAATTGAAGGGATATTGCCAAGGGTACTCTGGGTGGCATGTTAATTTCCCCCCATGCAAACTTTTTTTAGTTGTTAGGATCCCCTAGCCACAGTTGAGGTGAGCCCTGACTGGTCAGACCCCAGACGTGGCCCTGTTTCCCATGAGAGACTCAAGATTACGTCAACCCAGTATTTTTCATGTCCACGTATGAGCCCAGCGGAAGCATTTGCCACTGCTGTACCTACACCTTTTATTCCTGCTATGCATTTGCACCTGCTGTTCTGCCCTCGCCCCTCAACTGGTCTGCCCGTCCGTCAGTCAGTTGTCCTGGGCCTGGCATTGCCAGCCCCCTCCAACCCACATCTGCACTGCCACAGCCCCTCTCTTCCTGTCCTCTGCGGCCGTTTCTGTGGCTGAGATCCCAGGGTGGAACACCTCTGTGGAGCTCGGCTCTGCGGCATAGGGCCCAGTGTAGTAGCGCTCCCCCCGGGCCTCAGGTGATGAAGGTGCATTGTGCAGGGCCGGCCCACAGGCAGCCCACAGCTTCGCATCCTCATGGTTTCCCTAGTTCACCAAGTAGATTTGCATCATCCTCTACAGCTGAGGGCCGGGGGGAGGTGTTTCTTTCATCCAGGCTCGCAACATCAGGTTAGTTTCTGGAGCGGCCGGTGAAGATGAAGATTCTGCTTCTGAAGGTCCAGGCGCTCTGTCGCTGGACGGGCCCGATGCTGAGAACCCCTGTGGAGCCCGAGTGACTCTGGACGAGCAGGGCAGGCTGGGCTGGCCGGTGCTCTTTCTGTACCCAGAGTATGCCCAGTCGGACTTCATCTCTGCCTTTCACGAGGACTCCAGGTACCTACTCGCTGGACAGCTCTCGGCTCTTGCTGACATGCCTGACCCCACGGGGGAGGACTAGGAAGGTCGGTCTGGTGAAGTTTCCATGAGGAGGGACTAATGTATAGGGGATTCCACGCCGCCTGGTGTGGTGTAACCTCTCTGGCCTATTGTTCGTTTCCCCCTACCCGCTGTGCTCTGCAGTGACAGACATCTCAGCCCATGCTCACTGGCTGGTAGACGTGACCACAGTAGAGGCTTTGCCACAGAGAGCGCTCATGTCACCTCCATATGTCATTGGAGGGATGGGAGGTCATGTCACGTTGCATATGGATAATCATTCGCGTGTGTAAATACTAGAGAACAAGATAATTGGCACATTTAACTTGAGATTCCATAAAGTTGACCCTTAGGATGTGGCTGCCTGTAAGTGCTGCTGTCAAGCCTGTGCTACTTTAAGGAGCAGCGCTAGGTCAGCGGTAGGCAGTGGTGCTTGATGGATGCTCCGATCCAAGAGGGCGTACACCTGCCTTGCATGTCTTACCCGCTTCCGATGCATCTTTGCAGTGGTGTCCCAGGACGGTGGTGTGGGAAGGTAGGTCTGTGGGTCACGAGCCCCAGAATGCACATTATCCCTTTAGGTTTATTGACCACCTGATGGTGATGTTTGCTGAGACGCCCTCTTGGGACGTGGAGCAGAAATACTGTCCTGATAATTTACAGGTATGAGAAGTTTGACTTTTTTCTTTTATGGGATTAAAAGAAAGCAAATTTTAATGATCACAACTTTTCAGTACAAGGACTTTATCTTCCTCTAATCATTTTCAAGTAAGATGCTGATGTCCTGTCACCCCAGATGTTACAGGAACACTGGTGCACACACGGAGCCATGGTCTCTTACTAGTAGCGCCACTTCTAATCCAGAAACACAGGATTGTATTCTTGTTCTTGCCCTTTCTATGTTTGTCAGAACCTGGTGGCACTGGGGGTAGGCACTGGGCTCATGGTGAGGTCGGTGCTCAAACCCACCAGCCATTCCTTGGGCGAAAGGTGAGGGTGTCTGCTGCCATCAAGATATATAGTCTCAGAAGCCCTCTCTAGGGCCTCTGAGTCCGAATTACTCGATGGCACTAGGTGAGTTATAACCACGGCCATTCATTCCCTCACTTTACTCGCTGTCCTGACCCCTTGCTGTCCCTCTCCCACTTGGGAACTTCCTGCCCAGTTGCACTTGCGGCTCCCTGTCAGGCCGCTGAGCTTTACCCGTCCTGTGTACTCACACTACCCTGCCCTACCCCTCATGGACAGTTGCCTCATCTGCTGGGGTACTGACTGCCCCCACAGCGCTCCCCTCTGCTCGGATGCTCAGTGCCCAACACACCCTTCTGGACAGCCTTCTGACGAGGAGGCGGCTGGCTCTAGGTGTGGGTGCACTGGCTGGGCCCTGATGCCAATGTGGGACCTGCTTTGTAGGCTCTCCCTTTCCTGTCTCCTCTGTGGCTCTCTCTTCATGGCTGGGCTCCTCCACTCCCTGCCCTTCTCTGCCTTCCCTCAAGCAGCGCTGACCGGAGGACTGGATTGTTTGGCAAGGGAAGGCTTGATGGCCTGGGCTTGAGTCTTGGCTCAAAGGTTCACTAGTGGGGCGACGTGGGCCAGTTCTGCTTCTCTTAGCCCCACTTGAGAAATGGAGTTGACATCCTTTTCTTTCAGTGTCATGAGGGGACTCAGTGCAAAGCACCCAGGGTTCAAAGAAGCGGCTCGACTAATAAAATAACGTGGTCTCTTTCCACTTGCCCTGGCCTGGCCACAACGCACCCAGTGCTGTGGAGCCTTTAGTCGCGCTTGACTGTAGCTGCCGAAAGGAGCCCTGGTGGCCGAAGGTCAGCTCTTCCAGCCCTACAGAGGCTTCACGGAAGAAAAGCCCAGGCCGTCTGCTCCCGTCCAGCCTGTGGCCTTGGAGCCCACGCAAGTCGTCCCCCTCCACGGCACACGGGAGCCTTAACACTGCTTCTCTGGCCGTCCTGCAGGTCTACTTTGAGGATGAGGAGCGGGCAGAGCTGTACCGCGTGCCTCCGGAGAACACCCTGCTGCAGACCTTGCAGCACTCCAGGTGAGCTGCCCGTGGGGGAGGGGCTCAGGCCATACCCGGCTGTCAGCACAGGTTGAATGCCTGGTGCTCTCTCACTTAGGGTCTGGGCACAAAGCTGTGTGAGGTGGCAGCTGTGGGGCCTGGCCTATGGCCAGTAGGATGCAGTGAGTGACCCTCCCAACCCTAAGTGTGCCTGTATCCCATTGTTAAAGGTACAAAGAAAAGAGCTTTGCCTCTAGTGAGATGCACCAGCAGTCAGCGTCCCTGTGACTCAGCAAAGCACTCCAAACGGGATAGCTTGTGGCCTGCATGCCTCCGGGGGCTCCAGAGCCGGTCAGTTGGCTCCCATGCGCTCTGGCAAAGTCTAGCAGACCCACTGCACTCGGTGCCTCTGTCCTAGTGGTGGCAGCCAGCTGGAATTGGCAAGTGGTCTCTCTGCAGCCGTGGGGGGGCGCCCTCAGTAGGTGTAGAAGTGGGCTAGTGAACCACGTTCCCCTCAGCTCTGAGCAAAGCTAAGAAGAGAAGCGGTGCTTTTGCACTGAGGCGGAAGCAGCCCGTGTCTTGGAGAGCTCGAGAGCCCGGCGGAGGCCCTGCCCGCAGCTGGGCCAGGGGAGCCAGAGAGGCTTAGGTGACGCACGTGAACAGCTCACCATGAGGCCCGAGACGGGGGAGAGCGCCTGGTGGGCATCATGATGCGGGGCTGACCAGGCAGTGTCCAGGGGTCCTGGTGCTTGTGCTGTGGTTTTGGGGGAGGTACACCGAGGGGAAGGGCTCCTCCAAGCCGACCTGTGGCTTCTCCAGGTCCCTTACTCCTTCTATCACACAGTTCTAGCTGCATTCTCAGCGTTAGCCAGTCTCACAGATTCGCTGCAGGCTGGAGGCCCACCCTAGCCCACCGCCAGAGGCCGGGGCAGGGAGAGAAAGCGGGCGGACCGACTGGAGGAAAAGCAACTTCCTGCCTCTCAGAGTCACGGAAATGCTGACGGGAGGGATTGCTGTTAAATACCGAGAATAGGCAAGAGGCCACCCAGGACCGGGTTCTGGCAACTCCAGCCCCTAAACTGGGTGGAGCCTAGACGCAGGACCCCTTGCTAGAACCAGGCCCCTTGATGGATGCAAACACCTAGACCTGGAAGGCCAAGCACTGCCTGCGCCCTTTGCTGTACACTGAACAGCAAGGCAGCTGCTCGCTCCTTACAGCCCTGGCTCTGGTCAGACACCCATCACCATTCCTTCTCTGAATTAAAGTCGGTCTCTGACCTCCTGGCTCTGTCCCCAGAGCGGGAACTATGCCTCCGTGGCTGACCTCGTCTCACAGTGCTGGGCCTTCCTGTCAGTAATTGGTTTCTTATCTCCCTGCCCCCAGGACTGAACTCGAGCAGGGGTGCTGGCTTCGTTTGTCTGCTTCCTCTGTGTTCTCTGCACAGGGGACCTGGCTTACCCGAGCGCTCACCAACCGTATTGAGTAACTGAACGCATGTGGTGTAGTTGTGTTCCAGCTTTCGGCCTAACGGTGCATGAGGTCCTGGCTACCCTCTTGGAGAGAGGGTCGGGCTCATAAACCACTAACCAAATAAATGTGCTCACCTTGCATTTTAATGTGGACTCCTTTCCAGAGGGTCACCTTGAAGGTTGTCAGGAAGGTCCACGGCTGATTAAGATTGTAATTCAATTAACACATCTCTCCCTATCTCTCTCTGTCTCTTGTGTTCACTGCAGGTACTCGGTAAAAGCCCTGACACCAGCATTTTTGGTCTGTGTCGGATCCTCTCCTTTTTGTAAGAATTTTCTCCAGGGGAGAAAGGTGCACCAAGTGAAGTGACCAGGCTGGGCTGTGGAGCCAGAGCCCCGGGCTGCACCCTCCCTTTCCTGTGGCTGGAGTCCAGTGCTGTATGTCACTGTTAGGACAGTGCCTCCCAGCCCCAAGCCAGGGGGCTGCTGCTGATGTCCCTGGACTACAGCCTCTCTGGCCAGTGCGCAACGCTAGCTGGCCTCCACTCGCCTCTGTGGGCAGAACTGTCCTTGAACTCATGACAAGCTAACTATTAGCCACCTCTCAGAAGAGACCGGAGACTGCAATTACCACAGCAGCTGACCCAAGTAGCGACTGGCCTGTGGAGACTGGCTTGGGACCAGGGACATGGCTCTCATCGGCTGTGGAAGGAGGACGATTCACAAAAGCTATGCTCACATAAGCAAATGGTACATCTAGCTCTATGGCACTGACCGACCACAGGCGTCTCGGCTGTGAGACCTGGGCTTCCAGCTATTTCTTGTGCACCGGGGGCATTGAGTGGGATGTTATAGGTGCCTTGGGGTGGGGCGGAGCCAGGAAAGCCCTAGCCCCCATCTACATTTACACACAGTGTCCACAGGTCCTTGGTACTGGACCTTCAGAGTACTGCAGGGTGGAGGTCTGCCACAGACTGGAGCTCTGAATTCCTCCCGTTTTCACGTTTGGGTGTCGTGCCTCTTAAAAGACTGTGCATGCTGGGTCACTGTCATGGGAATGTCGTCTACAGCCGTCTCCCTTTAGAGCAGCGGTTCTCAACCTGTGGGTCGAGACCCCTTTGGGGGTCGAACGACCCATCACAGGGGTCACCTGGTTTATAACAGTAGCAAAATTGGTTATGAAGTAGCAACAAAAATAATTTTATGGTTGGGGGTTCGGCACAACATGAGGAACTGTATGAAAGGGTCACGGCATGAGGGAGGTTGAGAACTGCTGCCTTAGAGGACATTGTCTGCTCTGGGCCGGAATCACCCACCTCTAGCAGTCCCTCCCTACCCCTAGGGATGCTCTGGAGAGGCTGTGATGTGAATTCAAAGGGATGTTAGCAGATGTGCCTTGTGCCCTGTTGGACCTGCCTGAAGAGCCGTTGCTCTTGTCCCTGTGCTTGGGGAATCTGGACCCAAACAGGGGCACTTCCTTCAGTTTGGGCCCAGACGGATAAGACAGGGAGCAGAACTGAGGCGTCTGGCCTGTAGCCGTTGATCACAACATGACTGAGAAATAGACATTTGTTGGAGTGAACACTGAGCTTCAGGGGATATTGGTTACAGTAGCAGAGCCAACTGCATCATGAGCCTGATGCCAGCTGCTGCCTGAGGCTGGGTTCACTGGGGGCTGGTTGTGTGCCCGTGTCTGCCGTGGAGGACTCCCGGGGCCAGCCACTTCCCTTCCAGGTGCAGGTCTCTGCCTGTGGCTGCAGCATGGCCCTGTACAGGCTGTTGTCGGTGCGAACTTGGAATGGTCTAGAAGAGCCCCGGAGCTAGTTAGGGACACCCCCAGGAGGCACTGCAGTGTTGTGTATCAGCCATCTCTGCTCTGCTCCTGGGCCTCAGTGAAACCCATGACAGGCTCTGGTGTCCCTGATACCTGACCCCTGGAAAATATGACTTACTCAGCCCCCCTCTGCCCTGTGAGCAGGGCTCCGGCCTGGGCCATGACATTGGCCTCTTCAGGAAGCCATACAGCTACTTGTGGGTCATCTAGCTACAGGCCCTCTGCCACCAGCTTACCCACTGCCATTGCCTCACTCCTGCAGCCGGCACTGTGTGGCCTGGAACGGCTGAGCCTGCACTACCTGGCTGCACACCTCATTCTAGCCCCTGCCGTCGGGCTCACCCAACAGGCTGCTGAGCTAAGGGCCCTCAAACCCCATTCCTCCCAGGCCTGATGTGGAAGACCTGTAAGGGGCCCCAGGGATGACCTCCCTAACCTTTCCAGGCCCACAGTGGGCCCAGGACATGGCCAAGGCCACAGGGCCAGCTGCTTTGAGCTGGCTCATCGCAGGACAGCCAGAAGACTGGCACCTGTTCTGGTCCGGCTCTGGGTTCTTAGAGGCCCACGGTGGCTTCTCGCCAGCTGCAGCTCCACTCTGGGCCCTCCACATCCACCACACGGTGCTCCAGGCCCTTTGCCCCTGGACTCCCAGCAAGCACTGCCCACGAATCTTGCTTGCGCCCCATGCCCTGAGAGCGGCACCATTCTGGCCCTGGTCCATGCTCCCACCCTCCGCTCGTGGTCCAATGACTAATCCCTCCGAGACTCAATCTGCTGCTGCCAAGTGAGGTTAAAGGTAACCTGAGGGTGCCATACGGCTCCCCTCCCTCCACCAAATCAGCTGCTGCAGGGGAAAGGCGTTGCCAGGGCGCAGCAATGAGGTCTACAGGCAGAATGGGCTCCTGACGCCCAGAGCCAGGAAGCCTGCCTGCAGCCCCAGGGTGCAGAGGCACGTGCTGCTTGGGCTAGAAGGCCTCCTGCCCCGCTGTTTTAGAGGTGGTTGGGACATGCGCAGTCACACAAGGGCTGAAAGAACCATTTGTTTCTGTTCTTCCTGGGCACTGGGGCCCGCCCTGAGGATCTCCCGGGTCATCTGCGGGGGAGAGATGGAGAGCAGGGAGGGTGTCGTTCCACAAATGAGGCCCGAGCAGCCTGGCTGGGCTGGGCAGAGGTAGGGGTGACGGACCCTGACGGAGAGGTGCAGCAGGAAAGACCTCCCGTGGAGATGGCCTGGAAACTAGGTCTTATGCAGTGCTTCTTAACCTTCCTATGGCTCGACCCTTTAATACAGTTCCTCATGTGGTGACCCCCAACCATAAGATTATTGTCATTGCAACTTCATAACTAATTTTGCTACTGTTATGAATCATCATGTAACTATCTGACATGCAGGAGGTCTTCATTGTTAAAAATTGAACATAATTCAAGCATAGTGATTAATCACAAAAACAATATGTAATTATATCTTGCGAAATATTTATTTCTAATTACAAATAAATGAGATTTTGTCTTGAAGCCTGGTGTAGCATGGGTAACATACTTCACACACCAGGTACTCATATGTGGGTGTATCTGCATGTGGGTGGACCCACATGGAAATGGATAGAGGGAGCCGTGTCTTGGTTCCTAAGACCATCGGAAATGTGTTTTCCAATGGTCTTAGGCCATTGGACCCCAAAAGGGTCTCGACCCGCAGGTTGAGAACCACTGGTCTTGGGGAATAGGAACCAAGGGGGAGCGCTGGTGGCAGAGGTCTCAGCATATGCCAAGGGGAGGCACCATTCCTGGCCATACTTGCTGAAGGTGGAGGTTAGAGAAGATGAAGACCACCCTCAATGGGATGGGATGCAACAGTGGGTTCACAGCAACAGGCAAAGGTGGGTCCAGGACTAGGCCGTGTTGCGTTCTGTGGTACACAGGGTCACTGAGTCGGAACCGGTTTAACAACCCCTACCGCCACCATCCCTCTGCCCCGACATCTCCATGCTCAGCCGTATCACCTCGGGGCCCACCAGACTGAGCTCCCTGAGAGTCAGGACCGTGCCTGTGCCTGTATACCCCGGGCCGAGCCCAGCTCATGGTGAGAGGCGAGCGGAGCTCTGACTGACCAGGTGAATGGACTTGCACTTGGTCCTGTGCACCCTGGGGGAGTCCGGGGTGCACCCAGCAGAGTGGTGTACCCAGAGTGGGCATCCTGAGCTCCGGCAGCCAGAACCAGGGCTGGGCTGGACGGCCAGGTGGTCTCCTCGTTGAGAAGCCCCTCAACTGGTCCATGGCAGAAAGGATCGGGTTGCAGAAGGCGCAGGCAGAGTCCATGTGCAAGCCGAAGGGGAAGAGATGGCCCTGGATGAGGCCCAGTGTGTGTCCTGGTGTGCTGCTGCCCACCATGAAGGCTGCCAACGGGGCGGCATCATGGTCAGGCTGACAGTGCAGCTGGAGTGTAAGGGTTAAGAACAGGGTTCAGAGCTCCCCTCGGCCATTCAACAGCGAGCATGACCCTGGGCAAGTGTGTGACTTCTTGCACCTCACCGTCCTCATCTGCAAAAGGTTTAATGAAAGCATCCCATCCAAGGGTTGCTATGCAGATTGGCATCAACCAGGTAGGGCCCTAGGATGGTGCCTGGCATTGAGTACTAATGCTGGTACGGCCTCCGGCCCTCCAGGCTACCCTGTGCCCAGGATGGTTCTCCTTGCCTGAGCCCTGGCTTCTCAAGCCCCCGGGGGCCCGGGGGGCCCTGAGGTTAAAGTATCTGATGGCTAATCAAAAGGCTGACAGGAGGAGCCCAGACACCCCATGGGCAAAGATGTGGCAGTCTGCCTCTGTAGAGATCCCAGCCTGGGAGACCTGTGGGTGTTGTCCTTGGTCCTGCTGGGCCACGCTGTTTTAGAATCCAGTCCAGGGCAGGGGATTTGTTTGTTTCTCAAACCCCAGCTGAAGGACTTCTATGACACTGGGGCCCCCTGCAGGATGGGTGGGCACTGCCCTCACACTTCACCTCCCTAGACACCTGGACGGCCTGAGAAGGGTGGTGTCCATTTGAGAGGGGCTCTTGGTAGCATGGTTAGACCCCAGGATGGGAAGCAGGAGCCCCACGACCTGTTGTGGTGGCCAGGGGCTTCCTGATCCTGGTGAGTCCCTGGCCTCTATGGGACTCAGTTTCCCCTCAGGACCATGGGGGAAGATTGGCGTGCCCACACAGTTGCTGGGGTTTATTTTCTAAGACAGCAGCTTCCCTCTAGCCCCACCTGAGCCAGAACCTGCGGACAGCGTGGTTCTTGCTCACCGCCAGGTAGCAGTCTGGCTTCTGGCTTCACTACATAAAGACTGGGCAAGCCACTTGACCTGATGGGAGGGGGTCCTCTGAGTGCCCAGAGCCTTCAGAGAGGGCCCTGGGGTGGGTGGGGAATGCAGGCATGAATGAGGGAATAGAGAAATAACCGAGTCCTGATGTGGGCCCCTGCTTGATACACACCATCAGCAACTGCATTCTCAGGCTTCGACCCACAGGCGTGGCCACTCCACAGCTCACGCAGGGGTGGCACCCCCACCTAGGGCTCTCCCTCCTCTGACCCTCGCTCTCCTTTTTGGGTTGGTTGTCAGAGCAGTGGGTCCACCTGCCGAGGGATGCCCCTGGCATTCCAGCTTAGAGATGCTAGCTGTGGTGAGACTTCCGCCCGCACAAGGTCCTGGGGCCCCAGAGGAAAGGGCCAGAACTTGTTTGGGGCAGGGCCCCTGGGTCACAACTCGATTGCTGCCCATGACAGGGGTTCCTGTGTGGCCGCTCAGGCCCTGCACGTGGCCGCCCTCCACTCGCAGAGCAGTTCCCTGGCTGCACTGTGGTGTGTTCCAGGCCCATACAGCCCTTGGACTGCCGAGTGCACCCCTCCCTGCCCCAGTCCTGGTCACTTACCGATGTCCACAGAGTCACGCTTCTGCAACCGGATGCCCAGAGTGGAGGGAGACGAAGGGGCTGGGCGAGAGCCCAGCAGGCAAGGGCCTCCTTGTGGCTCCCCTTGCTCCGGGCGCAGGCCGGCCTGGGCCGCGGCTTCCTGTGGGAGTGCTGGGCCGGCCTCCTGGGTGCCTCCTGGGCGCCTCGCCTCCAGCAGAGCCCAGCCAGCAGCCCCTCGAGGCCCCTTTCCTCAGTTTACAGTGGGGGGGGGGGAGGATTGAGGCCCAAGATGCTTGGGACTAAGGCAGAGCCAAAGCAC